ATATTTTATAAACTGCTTTATAATTTTTTTTTCAGTTATAATCAATTTGTTAAAGTTAAAAGTATATGCTTAAATAAACTATATGGAAATGGTGGTTATGGTCATTAAATTCATAGTCCTGTCCTAAGTTTTAGATCTCAAGTTATGCTTATATATATATATATATATTTAAAAATGGTTTAATTAAAAGCACAAAGACATGAATATATCTGAAACCAGTTCAAATAATACTTTTCTATTTGATGGTAATTTCAACTTTAATAATAACCCTGGGCTCGTTTTTGTTTTAATTTCATGTGCATGTACTGGGCTATGGTTATTTTTTCTTACATTTTATCTGTCAAGAATAACTGGCTTTATATTGACTAAAATATTGCAAAAACGCTACTTGAAAAATGGGTACCTCAGTATTGGTAAGCAGTTTTATTATATATATATATATATATACAATTTGGATCACCAATGTAAGAAAATAAATGAACTGTTGTAAATATATTGTTTGTATTTTTACTGTTTTATTTTTTGTTTATCAAAAGAGTTAATAATAATGGCTTTGGAAATAAGTTTAGAATTATACTTGGCCTATCAACCAAGTTGTGCTAATAATTTTCTATTGTTTTTTTTTTGTAGCAATATTGCTTTTTTAATAGAAATGTAAGCATGGCTTCTAAATCTAAGATTAAGTACACCTAGGACTTTAAAATTAAAGATACCTATACCTTATCGCCCACACCTTAACACCCTTATTATAAATGTATGGTTAACATAAATTATACTTATGAATTATTTCCCTGCTAAAACAAATCCGTTATCTTAATTGTAAATGTATACTTTATAATGAAATATATATAGAAAATTAAATGTAATAGAAATAGTAACTATTAAAAATCTTCTGAGATTTTGAAAGAGTTGCTATGTTTTCAAGAGTTGCAATTTTTTTAATATTTGCAGAACTTTTAGATGCGTGTTTACCAATTCCAAATAATCTGAAGCAAATTGCTAATAGGTAAACACACATTACAATGTTATTTTACAATGTTCAAGAGTAGGTGTCAGCTTTACATTCTAATTCTGTATAAACAGTTTTTAAGTTCATTTTTTTAGAGTTTTTACACATATATTACAGATATTACTGTTTATTATCTTGTCTATCTTTGATAACATTTGGCACTGCATGTAAACAAAATCATTGTTATTTTTTTTATCTAAGTTATAATTAAATATTTAAATATATTGATGCTAAAAAATAAACTAATCAAAGGTACCTGAAAGTACATTTATGAGAATTTTTCAAAATTTAAAATGACTTTGTGATTTAGATTAAAAGTAATAAAAGCGTTAAAATGATGTTTTTTGTCAGTATAAATTATTATAGAAATAGTTTTTTTTTTTTTAATATTTAAAATTACTCAAAATAATAAAATTTCTTTATAAAATGATGACAACTTGTCTTGACATTTTGTATTTCTTTAAATAAAATTTTATTATTGTGTTAATTTAGGTTCATTTTCAATGTCACTATTGTCTGGAAAGTTCATGTTCAGAGATATTCGTTACATAACTAAAGACTTTAGCATAATGTAAACTAATATTACTTGTATAAATATATAAATCAACTTGAATTTTTTTTTATTTTTTTTATTGTTTCATTTTTCAAAGTGTTATCGATGGTCAAATCATTTTTAAATGGTGGCTAACTTACGATGCTGAAAATTTAAATTATTATAAAAAGTTTTCTAAAGACCAAGGTATAACATGTTTCTTATGATCTGTGTTTTCTTCTTATTTTTTTTTTTATCTATTCATAGTTAAATCAGTTTTAACATAAACTCTGTTATCTTAGTTAACACAGAGTTTTGAAATTTCCTTTCACTCTTCCTTTTTTTTTTTTAATTTACCTAAAATTACTCAAAATTATATATCGAGAAATGTATATTTTATTTTTTTATAAAAAAAAGAATTCCTGCCCTCAATATGGTTATTTATTGCTTATATAAGCATAAGAAAAACAAGAATGATTATAAATGATGAAAAAGTTGATAAGTTTTAAACAGTAAAATTGATTATTTAAATTTATTTTCTCATACTAAATACTATATTTGGTACAAGTTAAAATTTATTTTTGTTACTTTGTTATCCATGTCAATGAAAGAAAAATAAATCAGTGGATTTCTATTTGATTTTGTCACTTGTAAATAAATAAAACTGTTATGCATTTATTTATTAACTGTTAATAATTAAATCAAAATAGTATATATTAATTTTATGACAAGTTGTTAACAGTTAACAAAATTTTATTCACTTGCAACTTGTTTAATCAATTTTTTCACAATTTAAATAATTACACAAATGAATTAAAATAAATTTCTTATTTATAAACTTTGTTCTTTTATAAATTTCTTTTTTCATGTTGTATTGTTTTTGTTTTTATGTATGACTATTAGTTTGACAGGTTTTTTCTTTTCATATTTCAGATATTTGTGATTCTACACAAAGTAGATTGATATTTTATTTGAATGGTTTAGAGATTCACTTCTTTAACAGGTTAGTGTATATATATATATATATATATATATATATATATATATATATATATATATATATATATATATATATATATATATATATATATATATATATATATATATATATATATATATATATATGTAATAAGTTTAATACCGCTCAACTTGTTTCTCCGCGTAGCGGCTTTGTTTGTCAAGGTTTATGTTTTAGAGTTATAGAGTTGACATTAGGTTCTGTGTGTGTGTGTGTGTGTGTGTGTGTGTGTGTGTGTGTGTGTGTGTGTGTGTGTGTGTGTGAATGGTTAGCATAAAGTTGATAAAAAGACAAATGCAGAGTTTGCTGACTTTTATTTCAAATATTGGTGTTTGCCTAAAATTTTGAAATACAAATGCAGCATTTTACCTTTTAGAAATTTAAATAAAACATAAGTTTTGCTGATTTTGTTATAATTATTTGTCATTAGTTTTGCTGATTTCGTTTTCCATTTTTATTTTAATTGTTTCCTTTAATGTTTGTAATTAGAATTTAAATAGAATGTTTGTTTTGCCGTTTTAATTTTAACTACTTTATTTAGAATTTAAGATTCATTTTTTATAAGAATGAGGCAACTTAAAATAGTTGACTTATTGGATTTTTATGAAAATTTCAAGGATACCTTTAAATCAAAGTTATTGCAGTTTGAAGTTTCATAAAACATAGACTTAATCATTTTTCAAAGTTTTCCATGTTTAGATATAGCAATTTCATGCAGTTAAAAAAGTTGTTTGAAATAAGAGGAAGTCCTGGATTTTTATGAATAAATGTAGTATAAATTTTTATACATTGAAGAAAAAAATTGAGCTTTTAAAATAACTGTAACACACTTTTTTCCATTACTACATCAGGGGGTGTTCAATAATGCAAGTTCTGTACTTTTGAGCACCATATCTCTGGTTAATCTAGGCTTATTAGAATTTTAATAAGTTTTTTTCTTTAAGTTTTTAAAAAAGAACATCTGGTTTTCTTTACTGCAAACACAGTTAAACTTATTTGAAGCTCAATATTAGCCTTAAAATTATGTCTCAAAACCTTATCTGGTTTGAAAATGATAAAATTCATGCTAACTTTAAGAAGCAAAAGATCAATATTCCAACATGCTATTGACGTATAGTTATTTAAAAATGGTTTATACATCTATATAATTTCAATAAATTAAAAAAACTTCAATGGTATTGACTAAATAAAAACATATTTAATTCAATAAGACTTTTGCACACTAATAAAAAAATTAGGGAAATCTTTTTTTTTATTAATTTATTAAATGATTTAATTTTATTTAAATCATAAATCTACTTTTTTAAAGTTAAAATAAGTAATAATTTAAAGATATTTGAATTCAGTAAATAAATTTCATATATTAAATAACAATCAGAGACAAACCAAAATTGAAAAATTTTATTTATTAAATAACTAATGAATCTAACCAGAGTTGGCAAAAACTGGGGATTTTGAAAAAAAATCCTGCTCAGTGTTTTTTTTTTGGTAAATTTGGGCTTTATTTTTTTTATATTTGTTAAAATTTTGTTTGTTTGTTTAATAATATTAAAAACTGATATAATTTATAACTTTAAGTTTATTTAAAATATATTTTATATGTTTAAAAAAATTTATAACAACACCTCAAATTATTTTCAAAAAGTTTTTAATACAGTTTAAAAAATAGTTTAAAACTGTAATAAAATATAAAAAAATTCATGATAAACCTATATGTATTGATTTATTTTAGATTTAAAAATATTATTTTTTGTAATTAAAAATGCTAATGGGAAGTTGGAGAATGTGATTAAGTAACTGAAGTTGAAAACAGTACAAAGGTTTCTTTTGTCTATTGTCAAGCTTTGATTAGCAACAAGATAGTATGAGTGAAGCCCCATTTAAAACATCAACAAAAAAGTTTTTACACAAGCATACAGAAGGAGACAATCTCAATTTGTCAAAATATTTAAATAAAAATTGTGGTGATGTACTTCCAAATAATAATTTAAATATTAGTGCATCTGCTCTAATAGCTGGACCATAATCTCAAGTTGGAACAAGTTCTTTGGCATCTGTTAGTTTTATAAGTTTGCCAACACTTAGTAAAAAGCAACAGCTGAAGTCATCATACACAATATCAACTAATATGGAACAGAAAGAAAATATTGACATAAAAATAGCAAAATTTTTCTTCAGTGCAAATGTATCATTTAAAACTTCTGAAAATTAAGAATTTATAGACATGATCAATTCATTAAGATTAGGGTATAATCCACCTAACCGTAAAATGCTTGGAGGAGAGCTCTTAGTTTTTGAGGAAGTTAACAACAAAATGATGGATCAACTTACCCAAGAAAAGTCAACAATAACAATTATGCAAGATGGATGGAGTAGTGTTACTAATGATCCCATTATTGCTCATAGTACATATGACGGACTGAAGTCTAAAATTTTATGCATTACTGATTGTGCATCAAATAAAAAAAACAGCCAAGAATTGTACCAAACTCCTTTGTAGTGTCATTAAAGATCTTAAAGAAACATATAAATATAAACATAAAAAAACAAAGAAGTATTCCCTGTGGTAACAAATAATGAAAATAAGATGAAAAAAATAAGGGATTTAATCAAAGAAATGTATCAAAACCTTTTAACATTTGGGTGTTCTGCACATTATTTAAATCTTTTAAAAAAAGAAGTAACACATCCAGATGTCATCAATCATGTGGCTGAAGTGAAGAAATATTTTTGCAATACATATCAACCACATCTAAACATTATTTTGTATTTGTGGATTATAAACTTCAAGTCTAAAAAATATAAAAAGTTTAAAATTAACTATTTTTTAAAATAGTTAATTTTAAACTTTAAACATCCCTTTTAAAATAAAAATTAAAAATTTTTATTTTAAGGGATATTACCAAACAATACCTGGTGGAGCTCCCAAATTGACTGTATAGAAACATACATAAAAAACTACCAAATTTATGTAGAAATAGTACATAATTGTGATATACCTATCAAAATCAGAAAAGTTATGGAAAATCAAGCAGTATTACAACCCAACTCAAAATATTTGGTGTTTTTTTAGATCAAGTATTTAATTTTTTTATATTAAAGTTTTTGTTATATAATAAGACTTTGTAGGTGTGAAGGAAAAGTATTAAAAATAAAAATATTATGTCGATTAAATAAATTAAAAATTAAATTTTTTCTAGATGCAAAGTGACAGCTGTCATCTATCCGAATGTGTTGAGTTGTGGCTCTCACTTCTGAAAAACCCTGAACTAAGTCATTACCACACAGCTTTCAAAAAAAGATGTAATGATACTATTACACCTATCCATTAAATTGAAAATGAAGATGAGGATGAAGAATAGCTTTACCATCATTATCCTGATTTTGTACCTGGGTTGATTTTGCTTAAATTAAAGGATTGTGATGTGTTTACTAAAAGGACGTTGAGCGATCAAGTTATATCAGCAATATTGTGCAGTAATTGGTGGTTTATCATTAACTAGAGAAATGAAAAATCAAATCAGAAAAAATTGCCTGGTGGATTTTGCAAATTTATTTCTAAACTTCAAATATGCTCTGCTAAGCTCAGGATCAATAGAAAGATTAATTTCCTCTGTTTGTTTTATCTGTTCAAAAGTAAGAAATAAGTTAAGTGAAAAGGCTAAAAAGCTCAATTTCAATAAAGGCTCAATTTTTTTCTTTAATGTATAAAAATTGATATTACATTTGTTCATAAAAATTCAGCACTTTCTTTTCTTTCAAACAACTTTTATAACTGCATGACAAGGCTCAATTTAGTTTTTTATAAAGTCCCAGACAAAATGTCTGATCAAAACTTTTTTGGGTCGGTCAGTGTCCAATCAAATCAGTGTCCAATCAAAAAAATATAGTTTTTATGGTTTTACAGAACCGAGTTATGCAATCGAAATCTTTGTCATCTTATTCAGTTTATTTAATGTTAGTCTCATGAAGTTGTAGTTTTTTCCTTATTATTTAGAATATTTCATCACAGATTTTTGTTTTTTAATAAAATAGTTTTAATTTAATATGTTTTTTTATGTATTTTTGTAATTTGTATGTTTTTTAGATAAACTTAAATTTTCACTGGCAACGCTTATTTTTTTTTTCTTTTCAATTTGACAACAACTGTTTTAATATTAACAATTTATATGCAATAAAAAAATTGTTATAACTTTAATTGATTAACTTTTAATCATTGATCTTTTTTAAAGTTTTATTTTATGGGAGAGTTTTAAATGAAATTAAAAATTAATTATAATGATTGTTTAAAATAAACGTATTAAGTGTAAATTAAATGTTGTATTTAATTTTTGTTTTTTTAGTAGGTATGTATTTTTTACGATAAATTTAAACATTTGAAGCTATTTTTATGTCTTTCTAAAAACCTTTTAAAAGATTATTTTTTTAAGTTACTTTAAATTATGAATAAGTTAAATTAAATCTTCCAATGATTTAATTGCTTTATTTTTTTTTTTACAAAGAATTTTTCAAAATTTTTTTTTTTAAACTTGATTTACTAATTAAAGCATGAAATGATTAAAATTTACTATTTTAAAAAGACTGTTATTTTTTTTAACAATTTTTCTTTGCAACTTTTTGAAAAAAATGTTTATACAACTTAAAAATATTATATTATATCTTCATTCCATCTTTATTTTAGTTATTTTATTTAGAATTTAAATAAAACATTCTTCATTCCATCTTTATTTTAGTTATTTTATTTAGAATTTTAATAAAATGTTTTTTTTTTTATATGCATATGCATATATGTTAAAATTTAAATTTATTTCATTTTATATATACATATATGTTAAAATTTAAATTTATTTCATTTTATATAAAGCTTATAAATCAATGTTTTTTAAAAGGGTAGATTTGCTTAATTGTTTTGAACAAATCCTTTTAATAAACACTAATTTATACAAACTGATTGTATTTGCTATAAAGTTTTTATAATGTTTTAAAGTTATATATAATGTTATAAAGTTTTTGAAACAACTGTTTAAAAATAATTACTTTTGAATTTTTTATTTTAGTAAAATTTTTACTGGTATTTATTATTTAATAGATCAGATCTATACAATGAAATTCAAAATATACTAAAATGCGAGCGTTATGGAGGTAAATTTTATTCAAAACTTTTTTTTGTTTTGAATTTTTGTTCACTTATTTACTTCTTTTAAATTTATATTAAGATGCAAGAAAATCAATAACAAGCTTGGATGTTTTAGAAAGTAATATAGAAAATAGGTACTTATAAAATTGCATTGTTACTTTTTTTTTTTTTATCTTATTAGTTTTAATGATATTAAAATTCTTTTGAAGAAAAAATAGTCAAGATTCTAAATTGAATATATGGAGAGAGCTGTTTCCTCTGATCCGGTTTAACATTCGATCTGTAAGATTAATTATTTTTGTAATCTATTCTGTAATATTAATTAAATATATAGGTAAAGTTTAAAAATATTTAGTATTTAGACTACTCTCTTCATCCTCCTATGCAAAGGCTTAAGGACACGGCTGTTTCAAGCGAGCTTTACGGCTTCTTGTTATTTTTTGAAAATATTCACATAAGGGGTGTTGCTAAAACTTTTATAACTTTTGAAACATTAAAGATAATTTTGTTCTGTGAAAAGAATAAAACACCAATAAAATGTTTTATTTGATGACGTTTTACAGATATGTTAAAAAACTTCTTTAATGTTAGAATAAACGTGGCAAATGTTAAACTTGGCTAAATATTAGTAATTTGATGTTACTTTTTATCAAAAAAAACTTAGAAAGAATATATTTTCGATATTTATTATTAAATTTACACATTGTTGGACTATTAAAAAAACAAAAAAAACTCACTTAAATATTTAAGGTAAACTAAAACAGACATTATTTTATGCCAGTAAAGCAAATCGAATTTTCGCAAAATTACAAAAATGTCGTTAAAAGGGGGATAAATTGTTAAATGACTAGTTTTTGAAAATTGATTCCATTAAATAAAAACAGATTTACATTTTATAATATTTAGCCTAAAAATTTGAAGCTTAAATTTTAAAAAACTTTTTATTTTGTGCACACAGTTCTAATATGAGAATGTTAATAAAGGCGCTAACTTTAATTTTTTTTTTTTGCGTGTTCAAGTATACAAATAGCAATTTGAAATTGTTTTTATTCTCATAAAAAACTATTCTATAATCAGTTGGTCCATTGATAAGTTCTTTAAGTAGTAAATCTTTGTACACACAGTTGATACTAGACTCTTACTTCATTTTAAACCAGAAGAACAGTTGCTTCACTCAAAACTGTGACAATAACTTGTAGTTCTTAAATTATATTTTTGCACCAATTTAATATATATGAGAATTCCATTCCATTCGTTAACAAGAATTGAGGTAGAGCAGTGGTACCACAGAGGTAGAATAAACTTCTAATGATAATAATTGAATGGACATGGACTAATTTATGAAAAAATCTTACATATAAAAAAGTACAATAAATGTTTTAAATAAACTGCACATACATACCAGATCAAACACAAAAACATACCAGTTGCTCTGTGCGTAAGTTATTAAAATAATATGCCATATTTTTACATCCATTTAATGCTAGACTTATATTCCATTCTTTAACCTGAGCGGAGGTTTTCCTGCATAATTTTTCAAAGTCTTCAATAATAGGCAAATTAAACTCAATTGGCATAATAAAACTTATAAAACTAAACAATGTTTTAAATGGAAAGACTTTAAGTAAAATTAAAATTACGTTGTTAGTGATTTTATCAGTGTTCATTAATCACTTAATAAAAGAAAAGTTACATTCATTTTCCCAGCCATTTTCCCATCCAATGTATAGTATTAATATCTCCCTTTCACTAGAATGCATAGTGATAAATAAACTTCTCAATAAAAATATAATACAAACAAATAAAATCAAATAATAATTATTGACAAATAACAAGCATGAAATAGATATCAGAAGATTAAACAACTTATTTGATGTTTGTAGATTAGCCACGAGAGAAAAAATCCACCAAAGTTTGTTTTATTTATACACTAAAATTTGTCTTGCTAAAAAAGCTGTTTTAATAAATTTAATTACATAGTGAATTGGGAAGTAACGCATTTAAAGTTACTTCATTGCATTAAAATATAAACAAAAATTTTACGCATGTAACTACAGATTTTGTTGCATAAAGCAACAAAATTTGGCAAGGTTAAAGACGTTTTAGTTAGAAGTGCAGAAAGTAATTTTTTTGATTTTCATGTGTATAAAGGGTTGAAATTTCAATAATTTGGAGGGCATAACAAAAGTTAAACGTTTTTCATATAAAAAAAGTAAAAACAAAAAGAATAATGCTAAAAAAACTAACTTAAACTATTTTTTTCATCTATGCCCTCCAAAAATCTAATAAAATAGACATTCGTTTATAAGTATGTAAAATTTCAATCATCAAGCATGTAGCTTAAAATATCAAATCTTGATTGGCCTAAGACAGGTTTTCCGTAAAATACGCAAAAAACGGAAAAGTGGTCCATAATCATTTAAAATATTTTAACAATGTTTATTTTTATTTCGTTTCATGAAAATTTTTATTTAACAAAGAAAGATAGTTCTTTTATATTTTTTTAATTCAAAGATTAAAGCGTTTATAGAAAAAAAATACTATTAATTTAAAGTTAGTGAATTTTTATATTTTTATGCTGAAATTCATTTTTTTTTTAAACGCAAAAATTCTTGTGACATCAAGCTCGCTTTTATATTGAGTGAAACAGCCGTGAGGAGTAAGCAAAAAATTTCTGACCAACTATCTTTTTCTAATAAGCTGAGAAAAGATGAAATTCTGTGTTACATCATTTCCTGCTTGTCTTGTCGTATGATTGCTCTCAAAGAGGTTCTATCAGCAGCTGTAAATTATCAGAATATACAGCTGCAAATTGTGCATAAATGGTGTCCATGTTGGTGCTTTTTATGTGCTTTGCTAAGGTCACTTAAGAAAGCTCCTTAGTTGATAAAGCAGCTGTTATGCTTATTGTTAAGGATGTCAAATACTTATGTTTGAGTTAATTTTTAGTTTGCCGTGAAATCTGTTTTGAATCCTCTGACTATAGTTTTTATTTTAGCACAACTTTATCCAATCACTGTTTCTTTTGTTCTTTATTGGAGAACAATCTTTCAAATAGAAACCAAATATTAAATTTATTGGAATTTTAGGATTTTTATTTTTATTTTGTGTCTTATTTTCTTGCTCTTTCTGTTTTTTTGTTTCTTTTTTCTATCTTTATAAATTTCTTATTCATTATTCTATGGACCATGGTTGTTGCCTAGGCGAGCTATTACTCTTGTTCCACCAACTAAAACATAATATTGTGCGACTCGTCATTATTGCATCCTTTTGCTGTACTTGTTCCTTGATTCTTAAAAACTTTTGTTTATTTTTTTCCTCAATCATCAATGTCTTTCAATTCTCTCTTTTCTCTTTTGTCTTTCAATTCTTTTTTTTATGTTTTCATAACTCAATCAGTTTTTCTAGTTTTTCAAGCTGTCAACAGTTTTATTGCTCTTCAAGTTTTTCAACCTGTCAACAGTTTTATTGCACTTCTTGACTTTCTAGTAACTACTAACTTATACAGTGAATTTGTTAAAAAAATTAAAAAAGATTCCGCCAGATCTTTGTAAATAGCATACTTAAAATAGTGATAGTTGTAAATTGTTGTCGTACTGTACTTTACTTGTTTCTCTGTGAAGTAACCTTTTTTTTTTATCAAGGATTTTGTTTTTTGAGTTATTTTTTGATTTATTTTGAGTTGAGGTTTTTGTAACAACAGTTGAAAAAAGAAAATTTTCTTTTAGATATTTAAAAGATCTTTTTAGATATTTATTTCTAGTTGATCAAACATTCAGATTTCAATCAGTTAGAAACTTCAACACCATATTCAAGTTCTCCCAAAAGAGTCATTAAAACACTTGGTTAATACTGGCATCAAAGTATTTTTTTGTATAGTGAAAATAAAGTTTTATTTTTAGGGTAAACTTGCACTTGGGAATCGTTTATTGGAAACTACATTATGGGTTCATTTCAATAAGGGTACTGCCGCTTACTCTATGCCTGATGTAAATTTTTCATATTTTTATTTTATTATCTGTTTTATATTGAAACCTTTCAACTATTTTTATGGTGATTACTGTTGTGTTACACAGTTTGTTAAAAAGATGATTGCTAATATTTTATAAAATTAGTCTCACTCTCTACTAGGGGATGCGGAGTCTCAAAAAAGGACTCTGGAAGTTACAAAATAATTATTTATTCTTGGTTTTTGGTATTCAGGAGCTATAAAAATGTATAGAGATTTATGTACTCATTTTAGAAAAAACAAAATTAAGACCTTTAGGTTAGAGAAACAATCAATTTTTGTTATATTTTATATAAATTCTTATGTATGATGTTAGTAAGTCTCAAGGATTTTGGAATTCTAGGCTTGAAAATAATAAGTTAAAAGTCACTATATTTCATGGATTGTTTCATGGACTTTTTGCAATCATGATTTCACTCAACATTTTTGGAGCTCATAGACACCAGAGACACCAGAGATCAAGAAAAAATAATGATTTAAAGCTTCTGAAGTTCTTTTGGAATACCAATTCCCTGCTTGCAACAACAAATAACAAGTAATTAAGCTGAATGTTTCTTAAAAATAATAAAAAAAAGAAGTTGCAAGAAAAGACAAACTAGTATAGTAAAAATGTTTTTAACAGTTAAGAACAAACATATTATAAAAGTAAGTCACACAAATCATTATTTTGCTTGTGATATATGATATGAGATTTTTTTATAACTGTTGTTATGATAACAGAAGTTATGGTAGCAGTGACTATAGTAGTGTTTTAAAAATAGAACAGTAGCAATCCAATAATTGCACTAACTTTAG